ATTCAACAATTTACTGTACCGTATTATATATCTGGTACAGCCTACAGCTCTTTCAATTAAGGTTGTCCCCCGAGCAAAGCGGAAAAGTCGAATACGAGTGCGAAAGGCTGCTGGGAATCGCTAATAAATTAATAAATTTATTAGCGATTCCCAGCAGCCTTTCGCGCTCGTATTGCAAAGCGGAAAAGTCGAACACGAGCGCGAAAGGCTGCTGGGAATCGCTAATAAATTAATGAATTTATTAGCGATTCCCAGCAGCCTTTCGCGCTCGTATTCGACTTTTCCGCTTTGCTCGGGGGACAACCTTAATTGAAATAGCTGTATATAGACCGTTGTTTGAGCGGCATACGCAGTGTATATCGCTCATGTTATAAGTGATCTATATAGGCCTGTTTTCAGGAAATTTGAAGTTGAATTCTAACACTCAGCCTCAGGCCTAAAAATTCCATAATTGAAACCGTTCATGAAAAAACTTAAAAACTGAACTGTTACTACAGTATATCTATACCTTACTTGTATTAAAATTCGCGCAGTACTAGAATTCGCGCAGCGTTGGGTGTGCGAATTTTAGTACTGCGCGAAATATGATCCGCGCGAAAAGCTTTGTGGTGTAACATGAGACATTCATTGTTAGTTATGCAAATCAGTTGAGTTATTAACTGATTTGCATTACTATTTACATTATGTTGTTGTATTAGGCAAATGAGAACCATACAATAAATTTTTCAGTTCTTGTTGGTATTTTGAACTCTCGCTTTATTAATTGTTATCATGAATTTTGCTTACATTTCATAATTTTGAAGACATTTTTGAGGTCACCTAATCGCTTTTTGACAGTAAATTTTAACAAATATTGAAGTATTTGTTGATAAAAAATACCGATTATAAATGCGTTAATTGTTGATAGTTCTATTAAACAAACCAAAAAGAACGAATACGGAAAATTACTTGCGCGAATTTAAAGCTCCGCGAATGAGTCTAAACAAGGTGCGCGAAATTAAATCGTGCGAATTTAAAGCTGAGCGAAAATGAGTACGACGCGAATTTTAATACAAGTAATATATATATATATATATATATATATATATATATATATATATATATATATATATATATATATATATATATATATATATATATATATATATA